TTTGTGTTAACGTGAGTCATACACAATGTGTGTGTAGTTGTCGCAAACCTTTGCAAAGGTCACTGATGTCCTCTGGGAGCTCCAGATGTGCACAGCGCAGAGAAGAAGAGAACAGGCTAACAGGCTTCTGGAAGGGGGTATAGAGGCAGGAGACGCCATTAAACACAGGGTCTCCCAGCAGCTCTGCAGGGGTCGGCCTGGAGGTCACATACAAAGACATTCAAGTTATAAAAGCAGAATATCCACAAACACAGAGTGCTAAGTCGTACGAGAACTTAAATCTTATGATAATATTTTTATTAAAACACTGAGCTGTTTAAAGTCATATATTTTTTTTGATCACATTGTCAGGCAAAAAGTTCAAACTGTTTATTTTGGCATTATTTCTCTCCTGCTGGCCTTTCAATATCTGTGTGACCAAAGTGTTTTTAAACTAAATGGCTTATGTCCTCCAACAAGATATGATCCCCACCAGACCCTCTGTGTACCTTTTGGATGGGAGAAAGGTCAAGCATTTCCTTAACAACTCCAGAACATTCTCTGGCAGCTCCTGTATAAAACAAAAACAAAGGCCTGATTAGATACAGAACACACACATAAGGGTTGTTTTCCCATAGCCTCACATATAAAATCCAAGAAGATCAAAAAACACTTTTCTAAAACTCGTAGTGGAACCAGATCTGTGTGATAACAGCATTTAATCAAGCAACCTAGGAATTTAAATTAACTGGATAGGATCAAATCTTTAATCAATTCGGTTTCTAGGAAGTGGGAAATTACCTAAACATTGTTTACGCTTTCATCCAAATGAACACTCAGAGGCTCTTACAAAATCAGTTCTCCACAGGGCTGGGTATCAAACAACAATACTTTAAAATATCACCTTCAGCACTGACTTTAAAATCTTTTTTTTATTATCCTGGGAAGTAAAATTGTCAAATATATTCAAAAATGTAATTACATTAGGATTTTTGTTTATCAGGTATTTCCTGATCTAAATTTGAAGATCTGTCTCACCTAAGACTTTGTGTTTTTAAAACAGATGTCTTAAATTCAGAATGAAGGTATCGTTCTTAAATGACACTTTTTTTTAACAATACTTCCCTGTCCTTTCAAAACTACACCTTACTGTTATGCCAATGTTATCAACCAAATTTTCCAGCAGTGCCTATTAACCTCCTCCCCCCCCCCCTTAAATTCTACAATTAAAAGGACTTGTGTATAACGTATTTCACTGAATAAGACCAGGGAAACAGATGATGTTGAGTCTACCTTTATGGTATCCAGGCAACCATGTTCCTCGGCAAGGACGGTGACAATGTCATCCATGCAACCTGAGAATCAAAAACAATATAACAACACAGGACTAATGGAGTATAAGAGCATATGGCTCAGTACTTTAAGTAATTAAGTCCTTTTCTCTTACCCAAGTTCAGGATGAATTTCAGTCTGTCACTTATATCAATATTCTGCAGCAGTCGTCTGCCCTGAAATGTAGTCATAACATCAACATCAAAAATATCGTAGAAATGTTTAATTTGTGTATAAAGAGGTTAATAAAGGAAACATACTGCACACAATTCAAAGAGTAAAACTCCAAGCGACCAGACATCAGTCTTGGGTCCTGAGGGAAGAGGAACCTCATCATGGGAAGAGTCACTGGGATGGAAGGAGCCCTGAGCGATCACCTCGGGAGCAAGGTATGATGGGTACCTGAGGTCATGACCACAGAACAGATAAGCTTACAAGTTAACCTTGTCAGCCTCAGATTTATTCTTATTATTTTTAGATACCAAGTATGCATCATATAAAGAAAGCAGGCTGAATGTAAAGCTCAGTGTGGAAACAACATCAGATAATTTCTTGTTTATGAATGAGGTTTTTTTTTTCTTTCACATTGTTTCTGTCATTTGTTAGTGTATGTTCAGTTGTCCCTAACACCAACCAGCATATTTGTTTGACAGATACATTCATTACATGTTCAAACCAGATGTTTTACTGGAAGTCATGGGCATGTGCCATCATTCCTCTTTTCAATCTGCAAAAAGGATATTACACAGAGACACTCGGTAGATCACAAAGGCCTTTGGATAAGGATAAAAGTCCAGCAATTTGTCTCAGTTCTTCAAACCAGGAAACTACTTTGATGCCCCCAGAACCTGGTTTTCCGTGAAATGATGGGCCATTATGCATCAATGTTATGGTCAATTGCCTGTTTGTATGATTCGCCTAACAGCAAACAGATACAAGCGGGCCCTTTGACCCTGAGCAGACAGCTCGCAGAGCTCAGTGACACCAGTTGAAGAGTTCCAGAGAAGCACTAATGGACCTCTCTCTGTGATGAACGAGGAGGAGAAGACGTACCCGATGGGAAAATCTACATCGGCTCCATGATCAGTCATGTGATAGAGGCCAAACTTTGCCAGCTTGACATTCCCCTGCAAAGAAAGAATCCATCTTCAATGACTATAGTTCATTTAAGCGACCACGTTGGTGTCTTCAAATTGGAAGGACTTAGACAAATATGCATCCGTATACATATAGACATGAAACTTTGTTACTTTTTACCTTGCAGTCCATGAGCACATTTTGTGCGCTGAGGGCTCTGTGCACCATGCCATGTTTGTTCATAAACTCCAGACCTTCAAGGACCTCATAGGCCACATGCAGTACCTTCTCCGAGCTGAAAGATTGAACAAGAGGAAGATTTGTGCATTTTTCAGTCAGGAATGGGTTGGACAAACATTATAAATAATGAATCTTCATCAGGGTCATCTCGTATGTTTTAACCTCTAATTGGTAATGCAGATGTCTGAATATGTCCGATAATGAAAATCTCACCTGGCTGTTCTCCCCTGTTTCTGGAAATCATTTAAACTACTTTCATAGTGTTCTGCAACAACAATCAGCCGTTCTGTAGAGCAAGGAGGAGAACAGAAACTACAATTAGATAGAAGATAAGCAACTGAGCAAGATTATATTTTACACCTCTTTGAAATGAGTAAATATATCTACACAACAATCACAACAACTGTGCATTAAAAATGAATTTGAAACAAGCCTGTTGGCACATCACCTCTTCTTACACTTTGACTTGAGTATTGGTGGAAACCAAGGACCACTTAGATACCAGTGCAAAGAAAACGTACTAGCTGGCTCATTCTTGCTGTGACTAACAATATATCTGCCACTGCTAGCCAATAGTTATTTTTGTTATAGCATATGATCATTTTACCATTATGGTATTGGATTATTGCAATTAACTCGCACACTTGCTGAAACTCACTGGCAGGGAGGGGGAGGGGGCTGTTAGTCAAGAACATGTTTTTAATAAATAAATATCCAGATATTCTATCTTGACTGCTTGCTGAAGAATGTATATTTGATAAAATGTAGGGAAAGGGAGAAGACTCAAATACATACCGGGACATATAAAACATAACTACCGTGGATATTATCATGATGGACGTGAGTTAGATAAGCGACACAAAGACCAACGGTACATAGTAAAAGTGTACAGGCAACAATGCCTACAGCTTATTTAAAAACCCAACAGCTGATGGGACTAACAAATCTATCAGATACCTGAGTCAGGTACCTGATAGATTCATGGTATATTAGTTCATACCATGTTTCCCTCTTGAGATGTCCACATATTGGCAGAGTCTCGGGTGGGTGATCGTCTTGAGGATCTGGAAACGTCCCAGGATTTTGATAGAGTTGGGGGTAAGAGGAAGGCCGTTACTCCCACAGACATCGTGCGGAAGAGCTGAAGCGAAGAAGGTGAAGGCCCCCAGCTGTGCATCTTTGAGGGGCCTCATCTTCCCACAACCTGGACGCACCGGTGACGAGAAAGAGTTTTTGTTGTGACATAAAATGAATGTGAATGATTCATTTGATTATTGCGTCACGCATAAACAATATGCTCAGTTCAGAGCAGGTTTACAAGACACCATTTAGAATACAGGGAGACCGGAAACCCAAAATAGACTCTGGACAATAATAAAAACTAACAAAACAAACAATCCAGACCTTTATTTCCTATCTTAGAGACAAAAGTAGCCAGCTTATAGACAAGGAAGTTAAACAACCATCGCATCATGTCAACATAACATCAAAACATTTCAGGATTTTTCTTAATTTAATTTATGAAAGGTGTTCTTGACTCAGCATGAAGGGGAAATGAGATTAGTTCATTAATATGAATATATCAATGAATGGTGTGTATATAATTGCTTCATCATCAGCATGGTTATGGTAAATAAGTGCTGTTGTTGTTGTTGTTGTTTACGGTGTCAGCAATGGGGTTAACAAATTAATTAAATGTGCTGAGCCATGGAAAACATTCAAAATGATTCCGTAAGCAGAGATCGCTACTGAGCAAATCGCGTATATAACATTAAAATAATATATTTTACATTGACTTTTGGGACCCAGTGTGTTGATGCAAAGGGATGCTGCAGATAAACCCACCGTTTCTATGAAGCTGAAGTGGAAATAACTGAGTTTTTGGCCCGAGTAGTTCCCCGGATTTGTAAATCAAAAAGTGTTACATCTTAAAACATGTCAACTCACGCGTAATGGAGATGCTAAACGTCCATGTCAACGGAATTAAGTCGATATAACAGATTTTAAATGATGTTTCCTTCCTGCCTCTGCGCTGCGAGGGGAACAGCTGAGCTGAGCTGAGCGTGATCAATGACGTCGTGTCTGTGCGACAAATGTGGCGCACAAGAGGCATTTTCTTAACTCTTGTGAATCTTAAATCAACCACAAGTATTTTCCAAACCTCAGCGACACAGTCCTTTAGTTTATTTCAGTATTATTAGACAGCTTTTTTTCCCCATGAAAACATTTCCACACAGGTAAAAACTGCAGTCAGCTTGTATTTTGCGACAGTATCTGATCTACAGAACATATGGATAAGGTAAACCCACCTACGATCTCCACGCTCGTTGCTCATCCGGGTGTTGTAGCGATCAGGCTGAAGGGGCCTCTATCAACACTCTATGGGGCTACTTCTAGCTGCCTGTTTGCTAACTATCCTATCAAACTAGCCAGCTGTCCTCCCTGAAACGTGTTGGGTTTGCTGCCCAGAGTTCATGTAAGTTTTGTTTTTAAACCTCCTTTGTTGCTGGTTACTGCTTCATTAACGAATAACCTACAGAAACCTGTTTCGGTAAGCTGCCCTGTGTTGAGAAAGCCATTCTCCACATGAGGTGAAAATGTAAAAATGTAATGTTGTACTTGTTGATTCACTGTGATTTGGAAATGACTTTGACTTTGTTGTATTTACACACTTTATTTATTGTCTAGAGTTATGATTGTACAATTTAATAGTCTGAAATCGGCATAGTATACCACATTATTGATTATTCATTGTTTTGAATATAAATGCGTCATTAGTCTTCTGGGCGTCAAATGATTTGTGAATCATAATAATTATAACCTGCATGTTTGAAATATATACAAATATCATTGATTCAATGACTTACTTGCCTGTGATCCATTCAGCATTAATCCAATTTGAAGAGTACTTCTCTTAGCAGAACATATATAAGATTCATTTCACTGGCTGCTTGAGACAGGCCATCAAATATTACAGTGACAGTATTTGATCTAAATATTTAAACTGTAATAGCTTTTGTGTCATGTATTTATTTGAAATGAGAAGGTGTATATTTCTCCTTTGATAGACAACATTTGTGTCATACACTTGGATGTAGATCAGGGGCGGGCAACTGGCGGCCTGGGGGCCACATGCGGCCCCCCCATCAACCCTCAACGTGGCCCTCAGGTCAATTTTGACACATCAAATAATTGGAAACATGAAGAAAACAGGACAAAATCTGCCATGAAATCATGAAAACCAGAAATATGTCCATAATAATATTTGATCACTGGTAATATGTTGAGTTAAATTTGAGAAATTATTGACTGTAATCGTTTTTTGTATGCTACAATTTGGCCCCTTGGCAGTGAGAATTAAACGAATGTGGCCCTTGCTGTGACTAAAGTTGCCCCATCCCTGATATATATTGTCAGGTCTCAAACCCAGAACCTTTTCTTTTGACTGTGTGTCTAATCAAGTGACATACTGTATGGATATAGCTTCTAGATAGTTGCTGACATAGAAGATTTAAATTGATATATAATGTACCACTGTATTATGAAATACTGAGTGCCATAGTTTTGCCACTCTGTAACATTTATTTTTTAAACCTGCATCTCAAAACGAATAATTCAACAGTGAATACTATAAGAGGAGCACATGCATCTCCTGGAACAAAACAAAAAAAAACATTGACTGGTACATATCTTCTTTTTCTATGAAGTTAAATGTGTAGATCCTTGTAATGCCTTCAGGTGGTGCTGGCATACTGCTCTCTTTTCATTTCTAATGGTTTGATTGGATGAGACAGGTTGGGATTATTACTCCTACATTGTATTTGTAATTCAAGAATGAAGCATGGAAAGAGGAAACAGTTTTCCTTTCCTGGTGGATCCGCTTTCACAGCACACCAGAGAGGGCTGCTGATTACGGTGATCAGATTTGCAGATTTGATTTCAACCACCGTTGTATAGATCTTTGATATTTCTGCTCCCAAATGGATGTAAATGGAAAGTGTACATGAACTGTTAAAGAGTGTGAGTAAGCAAACCGGCCATGTCTATTTTTAGTTGCTTGATTAGACTGAGTGTAGTCAGATGTCTTTTTTTAGCACCATCTGTCCCCTGTACAGAACAGTTAACATGCTTATTTTACAAGATGTAAAAACAGGAAATGAAGTTGTGTTCCACACAGTGAGGATAGGTAAATTAGACATCCCGCTGAAAGACCACATCACTTAGTTAACACATTTAGCTATTTTCATCTAAAATCAAAGCTGAAACTATACCTCTGTATGTCTTTCTGCTGCCCTGGCCCCAGGACTTCTTTTAAGGGCTTATCCAAATGAGATCAGCGTTTTTGTGGCTCTTGCTATTACTCCACCACTGGTCCTGTTTAAATCAATTCTGTTTCTCCAAAAACAATGCTTTGATCCTTGATTTTATCAACTCCAGCTCTTTTGTGTTTCTAATTTCCTCGTCCCCCAACATTTTGTTTTTATCTCGGGCCAGCTGTTGTTTTCAAGCGCCTCCCTAGTGATATGTGTAAGAAGTTTTCTTCTCTCCATGCCTCAGCCTTGTGAAAATCCTTTCTTTTCCTCTTTTCCGTAATTTGCACAGCTTATTATTACGAAAAATAGCCGTAACGCAGTTATTAAAGTCCCAGTTATTTTTTCAGTGCTCCAGTTGGGATGATCCCCTTTAAACTTCATGTCAAAAGTTGTTCATGCTAATAAAGCTGATGTTAATAATGATAGATTTAAAAGATAAACTATCTGCATGATTGGGATTCATTCAAAAATACATCTTGCGACAGTGGTCTTGGAACTTGCCAGGGTATTGTGACGTTTTCAGATCGATTTGGTCATTTCTAGAAAGTCTCACATATTCCTCTGATTATCTCGCAATAGGACAGGAATCAGTTTTATCTCATTTCAGGAAACCAGCCAAAGTATATCAGTCATGAAAATCCCATTTGCACATAGTTTAGACCCACTGGGGCTTCATATCATAAAAAACATGTCAGCTAACCCTCTGTTCTTACTTACTGTAATACAGCATCTACAAGGGTTTAAAAAGATGTCCAAAGTTATATTAAGATTTCTTACACAATCATGGAAAGCTTTGTGTGATAGTGTTATGTCAGCCCCTACAGAATCTTCTCCGTTACATCAACCAACCTTTTGTGGAGCAGAGCTGAGATGTTTTTTTGGTGTTGTTGAGACTGTCAGATTTGAGTTCACTTTACACAGTGGTCATTCTGGAGGCTGTAGTTTGTGGTGAAATTTTTCTTGCATGCAAACCTCCAAACATTTAGCCGTGTAGATGTTCAGCAGTGCTCTTCAAAATAACATCTCTCTCTACATGACCAGTGTCACTTGACTCAACTTGAAATCAGGAGACCTTTTTAGTGTAGCCAGAAAGTTAAAGCTTAAAGCATGAACTTTTGAGCCTGCACTTATTTCTAAAGGTCATAAACACTTAAGACTGCAGCGACTGAAATTGTTTTTCTGAATACTTGTGTGTGCAGAATGTAGATGTGCATGTGTGTGTGGCTGAATTCATGGGGATATGTGGTGAATGTTATTCTTTTGTTTTAGGGATGCACTGCAAATTTAGTTGCACAATGTGCATTGACAGTAAATTCTATTCCATGTTTTATACAAACAAAAGGAATGAAACTCCATCTATACAATCCCCAAAATATTGCAGAGTCTGCCTCCCCCCTTGTATTTCATGATGTTAATCAAGGTTCAATATTGCATAGCCCGATTGTGTACATTTTGTACTATTGTCTTTGCTCCATATAATTTTTTTATCTTTTTTTTTTTTTTTCTTTTTTAGGTTTTTAGCTCGCTCCTTTTTCAAGATGTCAGGTCCCAATCCTTTGTTGAGACTGGAGCAGCGGGCAGCCGAGGCTGACCAAATCATCGAGTACCTGAAACAACAAGTCCAGCTGCTGAAGGAGAAAGCCAGTAAGACACCCACACTACACTAAACCAAACACAGGCTTACAAGCTTTATAGGACACTTTTATGAAGTATACAGCTGTGTTTCCTTATTGTCTCCATAGCCTCCATTCTACTTTAAATGGTTATTTTTCCTGTGTTAAGGTCTTGTATAAGAGAATGTCTGCATTGACAGTAGGAGTCACATACATTAGTATGGGGGAGCTGCTCATCTTCTGCTTATGGTTTGTGACTCATAAGTCAGAGGGTGAAGTCCTTCCTTTAGGAATACTAGGAGCTTTATGAAACCTGAATTGTCAGTAATGGGAACGTGTACAAAAAAAAAGTAATTCTGTGGACTATTATTGACTATGGTGTCTTTAATTTAGACACGAGACACTGTTGGCCTAGTGGTTAGTACGAAGCCCCGTGCATGGAACCTATGGTCCTCCAAACCGGCAGGCACGGGTTCAAATTCGACCCGTGGCTCCTCATTCCCCACTCTCGCCCTGATTTCTGACTCTATCCACTGTCCTACCTAAAAAAATAAAGGCTTAAATAAGACACTTAAAAGGGATCAAAATGAATCGATTTGTGTGTATTTGTACACGTTTCCTGACTGTGCAGATGTTTTATGAGTTGTGTCTTGTTTAAATATCATTCAGTTATAAAGCAGACGTTTCTATTTCTGTTGTCCTTGTATTGATTAAAAAAAAACCTCCTCTAAAGAATCTGTATACAATCTACAGAAATATATTACAAATTCATATTTTGGATAATGTGAGAAATCAGCTTCACTTCAGAATGGTTTTATCTAAGTAAGAGACTGCTTAGTACTATTTTGTTAATCCACAAACTTGATAAATGGAGAATTTATTGGGTCAATTTATTTCATTTTTTTATTTGTTCCATACATATCAAAACACACAACAGAAAAAAACAATTCACACTTTATCCCATGTATGGAAAGGAGCAGGGAGAAGAATAAATCTTGTTTTTATGGCCTCTTTTATGATGCCAAAGAGGCCAGCAATAGATTTTAACTCCTACCTACACATGTTAGCTGTGAGTCTATTTGTTCTTATTCAGAAGTTGTTTCTTTTAAATATCCTGTGTGATAATAAAACGTTGCTCCAGTCCTGAGAGGTAACAAGAATTTGCCTTTCCGCAGTGGTCCAGGCCAGTGTCAGAGAAGAGAAGAAACTGATGGTGGAGAATGCCAAGTTGAAGAATGACATCGAGGAGCTCAAAAAACAGCTGCTGCAAAAAGAGAAGAGGAGGGGGGGTATGTTGAGTTTGGTTCCCAGCAGAGACTTCCATTGAAGTCTTTATATATATGTTTGTTTGTCTTAACGAAAGCCTTGATGTTGTTATCCTTTTTCTATCTATTTTTTTTAGAAGCAGTTATGTGGGCCTGATTTAGGACCATTTGATGTCATTTGTTGCTCATTAGAGCGTTGTTTGGTTTGTACTATCACTGATAACATCTTTTGCTTTTTTCGCCTCTACCCACTACAACCAGATCTTATTCTGTTTTTATTGTAAGCAACCATTGTGCTTCAGGAATCCCCACCAGAGCGATGGGGTCAACATGTCTGTCATCTATTGTATGTCTGACATCCGCTGACATTCAAGGACAAACAGCTCAGATCATTAACACACACTTCATGCTTTCCAGAGACACATTGTATGGACAAAAGAGGCTGGAAGAAATAAGCTGTTTAACTTTATTCAAAATAACTCAATATGTTGGTGTTGGAACGTTGAAGGAATGTGTTCCAATAAACCCGAGACGATGATTTTCCACGCATTGTATCTAATTGGGATGTTTATTTTTGGGGGGGGTGTCTTTCAATGGTTTTAAGGTGGCACAAAATAGCTCAATCCAAACAAGGGTAAATATGACTCTTTTTCAAAGGAACTTCTGTTGGCGTTTGTAATTTGTTCGTGACATGAGAGAAACAAACACTGAAACGCAACTAATAGCCCCTTAATACATCATTTCTGTCTTTAAGAAATAAAAACCAATGTTCAGGATGAAACTGACACCAAATAACAACGAATGAATACATGAATCCTGCTCTTTACTTTTCTAGGGGCAAGTTATAGTCTTCACTTAATTAGATATCATGATGTATCATTACATGATTCAATATGATATATCAATTATCTCAAAATTATAGTATCTTGATATAATCGTTATTGTAATGACCCCTTTGCCTATCTAAACAGACGGCCACCTCGGTTGCACACAGATTTGTCGAGCATGCAAAAATAACGAAATGTCCAGTTTTATTGCTTACAGTTTGTAGGTTGTTTAATACAAACAGGGTTCATCCACTTTCTCTGCAGACTAGTACATCTGTTTCTCACTCAAAGACAAAAGAAAACATACATTTTTATTTACAATCATACCAAAAGTTCAAAAACTGTTTGTCTCTCCAGAATGTGCAACACCTTTGTCAGGTAACCTCTTGATTATAATGACATCTGCCTGCCTGACAGCGGCACTACTCCACCAAGTGGTGAAAAGTATAACTAAACAAAACATTAAGGGTCACATATTATGCAAAATTCACATTTCCATCTTTTTCAAACACGTGTGTGTCCCTATCCTGTCTACAAACCCCCTCAATTATGAGAAAGCCCAATCCTCTCAGTCTTTTGCCTGCTCCATTTTTCAGAAGAAATGTGCTCAAACAGGCCGTTTGGAGATTTTCCCTTTGTGACATCACAAAGGACAGTAGCCCCTCGCCAAGGTGGGTAAATACTCCCACAGCTAGGTGTTTGTTCTGCCCTCTGAGTCTGCCTTCTCACCGTAAACAATCAGGCATGGTGCAAAAAAGATCAAGACACCCAAGCCCTTCTAGAGGGGGCGTGGTCAGACACAGCTCATTGGCATTTAAAGCTACAGACACAGGAACAGCCTGTTCTGAGCAGGGCTGAAATAGAGGGGGTTATAGCATAATAAATACAGGATCAGAGTGGATTTATTACTAGACACTTCACAGACATGTTTTGGGGAACTCTGAGACTTACTTAAACTGGTTGAAAAGGGGGACAATATGATAACTTTAACAAAGATGGCTGTTACAGTTATGGTTGGCCACTTATCACGTATTCTGTCATATGATGAGTTACCCTGAGGTTACCACCCCTACTTGTAACTGTCGGCAGTCTCTATAACATCACATTGTCATTGTTTGTTTGTTTTTAACTTAAACTTAAAATTCTAGTGGCAATTCAACAATAAATCAGTATAAGCCTACGTACATAAAATGTGAATAATGTAACACACAAAACATTCCCAATCACTTTTGTTAGAATTGTGCAACCATAGGAGCTCAGTTTAAGTACCCTATACTTTGTGATATGTCACAACCCTTAAAGGTAAACTTCAGGGGCAGGTCAAGAGTTTGAGAGGTTATTGCCCGTAATTCCAAGGTAAACCAAAAGATCCTGATCTCAGGTCCTAACATATAATTAAGGTAATTAGAAGCATTATGGTAACGGTGGTGTGCCTGCAGACCGATGTTTGTCAGACACAGACACTGGATTTTGTAGGAACTCAAACATCAGGCGCCTGAAATGAGGGGTTACTTTTTCCTGGAGAGCTATTGTAGGACATTGTTCCTTGGTTTTATGGCCCCACTTCCTTGTTTCCATCGTCTTTGCCACTGTGTCATTTTCCCTTCTAAACTGTTTGCATCAGGAGAGCAGTCCCCCCCCTGGGTGTGTAAATAAAGCTCCCTCTGTATGTTTTCATGGTAAGTGGTGATACAACCTGCACTGAGCGGGAAAAGGAAAATCTAAAAAAGCAGCATACTTCTCGTATTTGTTATGTTGTTCACAGAAGTGCTGCCACACGTGTCTGTTGTTATACTTTAACACAACTGTGCAACAGATACGTAAGATGAGTCAGTCAGATAGTAACTATGATCCACTACTTACAAATTAATTGTTCGGCCCTTTCCTCTATTTCTCCTGCAGTGCTTGAGGTGGCCATGCCTTCGAGCGGTGCCAGTGTTGAGTGTGTCTCGAAGCCCACTCCTCCCAAACCCTCCGGACCGTCAGCCTCTGCATCTCCTGCTGCTGCCGTCCAAAGCCCCCCTCCCAAAGATGACAAAAAGAAGAAGCCTGAGAAAAAAGGTAACGAAAAGTTTGGCACCTGAAAGGTTTTTTTATTATGAGTACTTTGAAGTTGAGAAATGACTGTTCATATACGTCACATAGAAGCATTTGTATCATTTATTTTATTTTCAATAAAATGTTTAATGTCGTAATGTTGTAATGATGTTTAATCTGAATTGATATTTCGCAGCTAACATTTGGTCAATGGAATTTGAGCATCTTGAAAATATATGAGCTAAATTTTATACGTCTTATTTTGGCATCTGAATTTGGTCTACTGACATTTAAAAAAGTTGTTTTTTTATATACACCTGAATTTATGAACACAGAAAAGGAAAGTTGAAAATGAGTTATTGGAAATATATAGAGTTGAATTCAGAGGCCAAGAATTCAGATAATTTCAATGCACACCATACTCTTTGTTTCATTTAAGTCTGTAGATCTTCTTCAAACATTATTTTCAGTTAACATTATTAGCCTTTGATTGGATCTTAATTTAGTTTTGCTCTGGAGTTTCATGATGTATAACAAAATAAAGAAAAGACCTGTTCTTTATTTTGACTAATGAAAGAGCTGCATTTGGAACAAGACTTCTTTGCCTAAAATCACCAGAAATGTATTCTTGTTTCTAAATGAGTTTTGGTCGTATTTTGTGGATGTGCATTCGTCTACAGTGTCCCTACAGTATGTGGGAACGAAACGGTCCCATTTTTTCCGTTTTGTTTCAGTGAAGCTTTGTCGACTGATCAGGGAAACTTTCATGCATTGACTTGGAATGATTAGTTCTCCATGTGTTTGGAGGGTTTATGATCAAAAAAGACAATAAAAAAACGTCTTGGTTTGATTGAAACGTGTTACGTTCAGTTGTTAGTTTGTTGTTAATGAAGGATGCTTCTTCTATTGCTTGTTACTCAAGGCTATAAAGTAGCTGTGTTCCCACCTCAGCCAACACAGTCATCACTTGTTTTTGTACAAAGCCATGTGTAGTCGGGGTGCATTACGTGGCCGTGCTGTCATCAGAGCAGAGCACAGAGGAGTCATGTTGAATATCAAAGGCCTGGGTTGGAATTCATATTCTTCATAGCTTGTGTGGGCTCACAGGAATGATTTAAGACTGTGTGATCATTTGATCAGCGCAAGCCAGCTACCCGAGTGAAAGGTGCTTTGTCTCTTGGGTGGAAGCATCTGCTATTCTGCTATGTCATTCGATCATGTAGCACCTCCAGCCAAAAGTGGGTATTGGTATTGTCATTTAGTGGAGGTGTTTTTTTTAAGCATTTCTGGGAAGGAGTGAAAGGAATGATCCTTTCCTTGATACTGTTTACTTATGGCTCACTTGAAAAGCATGCCCCTATCCTGCATGCAACCCTGGGGCTTGTCATTTGTGGGCTTTGTTTTTATTTATGAGAGGAAATTAAATCGATTCCAGGCAGATGCCCAGTATCGTTTCAAGTATGATTTGTTTTTTATAATTTCCCTTGGAAAGATACCAGTTGGCTGAAATGTCTTTAGTGCCCTTTAAACAAACGTTTCCTTTAATGTCGTCCACATTTAGTCTAATAGCGTGAAAACTGTCACAGATGCCTTTCTTATGCAAACTCTCCCTCAACACATGCTGAATGGCTACTGTCTGACTTAAGGTGCTGAAAATGTACCAAACGTCCAACACCCAACCAAAGTGTTTTATCATACGTTCATTCAAACAGAGAAAATACAGACAGAGAAACACTGAAACTGCATTAAATGTTCTTACATACTGTGTCTTTTAACAGCACTTTTGGCCTTTTCTTTTTTCTGACAGGAGGGGAAAAAGCCGAGAAGAAGCAGGCAGCACCGAGCCAAGACGAAGCCAAGGTGGACGTGTCTCGTCTGGACCTGCGTGTTGGACGTATCATCACTGCAGAGAAGCACCCAGATGCAGACAGTCTGTACGTGGAGCAGGTGGATGTGGGAGAGGCTGCTCCACGGACAGTCGTCAGCGGGCTAGTGAAGTATATTCCTCTGGACCAGGTAACTCATATTTACCCATATGCTAGTTTACTGTATACACCGAGCTAAAACAATATAGTACACAATACTTCAATTAATTGAGAGTTCAATAAATATCTACAATATAAAGATATAGCCCTGAATGGTTGTGAATAATTCAATGATTTTATGGGCTGATACTTATTCTCTAACTTCAGTAGAAAATGTAAATGTGTATTGAAAAGTTGTTATAATTGGATCCAGTTGTCTCTGTAGCTTATATCTTATATCTACCTTATTTTGTTAATTGGCCACTTCACAACAATATCCAAGATGCATTACGGAGAGGCTTTCTAACACACTGTATTGATTCGACTCATGTTTTGTCAGGTTGCAAATGTAAAAAAAGTCATTCAGTGTCTCATCAGGCCCAAGGTTTGCAAGCCTGTAGATGTCCAAAACAACAAGTCAAGTTTATTTATATAGCACATTTAAGCTACAAGGTAATTCAAAGTGCTTCAAACATGACATCAAAAGCATCGTGACAAAGAGAGAAAAGAAACATTAACGCAGAACATTTAAAATCACAAAAAAAAATACATTAGAATAGAAAATGTATGAATCACTAAAACAAACCATTAGCAGATGAAATGTGAAAATATGTTTAAAAAAAGAACCAATAGAAATACAGAAATATGACAACAGCTTCGGTGGTGAAATCCACCTAGAGTCATTACAGTGAGAAGGATATTCATATTATCGTCAGACTCTCTATTGACTGTAGAGAGACATTCAGACGGATTCTTTTTACAAGACACAAACGCAGTGCTGTGTACGTCCAGTTTATAAACATTGACGGCTCACAGGCCATAGAAAGGATTTATTAGTCCACTCAAAGGGATTTCTTGGCTAAACTCCATCCGGATTGTTCTATGTAAACATTGTGATGCCTGTTCGAGATCTCCAGTGAGTCATGGTGTTAAATTCACATTAATGTTGATTTATGTTTTGCTCCTGGGGGCCACTAGATACTTTTATGGTAATAAAAGTTTGTGTGTTCACGTTCCCAGACGTGGGAGTGCTTGTGCCTAGCCTCTGCTTTAGACTGGGGTTTGACAGAGTTTGTCATTTAAATTTAAACACAAACTTAAGCTGGATGAAATCATTATATATATATATATGTATGTGTATGTGTGTATATCATCATCCAAAAATGTCCACACTGTACAAAACCTTAAATGCTCTCTGACTTCAGACATGTCCTTTATGGTCTGTTGCAGCACTACTCACTCAGAGGCAATAAACGAAAAATGTCGAGTAACTTTCTTGTTAACAGTCGTACTGAGGCCATTCTGTCAAGCAAGCAGGAGTGAAGTAGATGAGGAAATGCATTATGGGTTTTCTGGTGGTACTCTTGAGTGTCTGTTATGCTAGGATAAATAATGGCTAATTAGAAAAGAACTGTTAAGACTAGTTTCTACATTACACCATTTGAAATACTGTTACAGGACCTTAACATACGAACCCTGGCTCACCAAAACTGCTCATGAGAGGAATAGTAAAACTACCACCTTACCCCTGTCCAAGCAACATGAAGTATTTTGAATTTATGTGGCATTTCTTGAAAGATATATATAAAATACATGTATGATTATTTTCTGAGGTCTGGTATGCATCATCTGTGAAATGCTGGATTGCTCTTCTTCTCCCCTTTAAGCAGGAGCTGCCGATGGTCTTCCTCTTTTTTTTAAATATTGGTTGACCACAGAGGTCTTCAGGCTTAACTTTTCTGTTTGCTCCCTCCGGTTTTTTAAATGAGGCAAACAAGCCAGAAAACGCTGGACTCAGTCTTTGGAAATTGATTAATTGAAGTAGGCAGTACACAAAAAAATTAACACTGAAGTTCTACATCCTGTCCTGGTGGTGTTTTCTACACCATAGTGAATTGTTTATCTCCCTCTCTCTCAGATCATTCTCTCTCTCTCTCTCTGCTGTCTTTTAAAAATGGGCCAAAATGTTTATTACACTTTCTTTCCCTAATGCAGATGCAAAACCGAATGGCTGTCCTAATGTGCAACCTGAAGCCGGCCAAGATGAGAGGAGTGGTGTCCCAGGCTATGGTCATGTGTGCCAGCTCACCAGACAAAGTGGAAATCCTGGACCCTCCAAGTGGATCAGTACCAGGGGACAGAGTTTCTTTCCAAGGCTTCCCAGGTACAAACAACCAAATCAGGTTGATGCTTAAATGTAACGGTCATATCCATCTAAACATGGGTGGACATGGACATGGATGTTTTCTCACCACTAAATACTCATAATGATTGTCACAAAGTTAAGCCTACTGGAAAAAAAAAAAACATTTCTTAAACCTGGTTTCAACAAATGCTGCTGACTTTATGGAATGAAAGGTGTTGTTGAACTCTCTCACTGTAGTTTAAACATTTATTCCCCTGAAGACACTGATCACTTTATGTTCTCAGACCCAACTAAACGCTCTCATTAGTCGAATCGTGGGCTTTATGGCTTTATGGCTTTATGGCCTGTGACTGCTGATTTAAGATGCTAATCAACTCTTATTGCTGGTAAAAAACTAACTGACTCTTTTATTCTATAGGCAGACGGAAAGATATGTGCCCCGATTGTCTGGTTAAGTTCAACTCGTGTCGATGAGTTTGGGATAAAAGAATATGTGAACCATATTTCCAATTAATTAAGACATCAAATAAAAGCTTGGTAATGAATCAATGACCCCCTTATTAAATATTTTTAACAGAGTCTGTATTAAAGGTGTTGTTAAAATCAACAACAGCCACCAACAAGCCTCTCTCTGGCTCTGAAGACCAAATTAATAATAGAAGTCTGTGGTGTTGGATATTGGTGCTGAGCAAAGGATTTGTTGGGAACAATGAAGAAAATGGGAGTTCCCTCTGAAAACAGTGAAGGGGTGGTAATGATGAAGGTTGATCTGTGGTCCAATAATCCAGCTGAATCAACCGAGAGTTTCAACCCTGCTGTCCACATGTCCCAGCCACTCCTAAAGCTGCTTGATTCATGAGGGATCTCTTTCAGCCAGAATCATTTTTATGGATGCCACATTAAAAACAGTCCCACTCTAACCATCTTTTAAGAAATTAGTTTTCAAGAAGACAGGAGAAACAGAGGAGAGACCTGAGACGGTATGTTAGATTTTCTTCGATGTGGTATTCAGTAAAACTGAAGCTGTGTTTCTGAATGACATATAATGGAAAATAAGAGGTGAAAGAAGTGTTTCTCTTTCCACGTTTCCCTCCTTTCTCTCCCCAAAGCGCCACAGTACAGATTCAATTACAGCGAATACACGGCTGGTGTGAGTACATGGTTGTAATTGCCCACATTTCCTCAACTAATTGGGCCCAGTACTTCTGCTTGAACTTCAGAATGTGCGCAAGTTGCTCATCAAAACCTCCTTCACGCTTCAGATCAAAAAAGACTGTTGCCACTCTTGGGTTGTAAACCGGTAGAAATGGCAGCTTTGGGAAATGAAACACATTTGTGTCCTCATACCCTGAAAGGGGAAAAATTTGACACCGGACAGAAGCCAGACAGTACAGGCTATGATTTCTTTCACTAATGCCAGGCAACATCAAAAAACAAAGGCATCATTAAATGAGAGCCTCCCTTAATTGTTTTTGCTAGATGCATATTTTGATTCCGAGAATTTCCGTGAAGATGTTTTGAATTATGGCAAAGATCAAATGGCCGTGTTAAAAAGCTGATGCTCTAATAAAACACAATATTAGGTCTTGCTATTCACAATTCAAGTGGGAGAAATAAAATAAATATTGGCCTGATAAATCATGTGTGTAATGATAAGTGATTTTATTAGTTCATTTTGGCTTGATCCTACTTTACAGATGGAATCAGTGTTTGATGACTATGAAGAATCCATAAAGGAAATATAAAGTCATCTATAAATGTGTCTTAGAATGAATATATTAAAACAGCTTTTCTGAAGGTTATACAAGGACATGACACATCAGAGTTAAATCTGTCCTTGATCACATTCATCATGTGTGACAAATGAGCACAGAGCAGGAGCAGTTGCTAATGCAGTAAACTGACGTTTTGATTACAGGTGAACCGGACAAAGAGCTTAACCCCAAAAAGAAGGTGTGGGAGCAGGTTCAGCCAGACCTACGCACAGACGACCAGTGCGTCGCAACCTACAAGGGATCTGCCTTTGAAGTCGCCGGGAAAGGAGTGTGCAAAGCTCAAAGCATGAGCAACAGTGGAATCAAGTAAAATAACCGAGCTGCTTGAATTAGCTCAGTGTTTACTCTCCATCATCTGCAGTGATGACCACGATGGTGTTGAGAAACAGGATGGTGTTGAAATGAAGAAAATGCTTTGAAGAGGCTCAATAAAGGGATTTGAAATCAGCTTTTTAGTTGTGTCCAAAACATTTTTTTTAATGATACTTTATTAGTGAGCTCTAAATCATCGGTTTCCATCCTGGGGTCTGGGCCCCCCAGGGTGGCACCAAAGATACCAAGGGACACGAGGCTTTTTTTCTGTTCTGAGGCTGTCAAATCAGATTTGCACATAGTTACTTGAGTCATGATAACACTCTACCTGGTAAAGGTTATGTTTATTTTTCACAGCCATGTATCACTTTGTTTTGTATGGGTCGTGGGTTCAACTTATCTCTCAGGAAAAAGGTTGGGAGGCTGCTAAACTATCCTCAGTCTTGTTTTTTTACAGGGGCAATAAGTGACTGTGACACGTTGCATTTAAAATAGGTACCCCCTCCCCCCACTCCTTCCTAGAGTAGGTGTGCACAAAGGGTGCCATGTCACGGACACTGTAGCTTCAGTGTTTAGCTAGCTGTGATCGGTCTTGAAACCATTCTGCGCTTTAACCTCTCCAATATCTCCAATATCCTTACCTCTCACTCATATCCTTATCCTCCTTATCCTTTATCACATTTCCAGTTGTGGATTTCTAGAGTTTTTAGAAAATGCCAAGGCTTTTCAGCTTTACTTTTTGGTTTGCCGTGATAATTGCTCTTGTAGCTGGCAAACCAAGGGGCGTCCAAAACGGCCGTGTGGGGGTGCCTTAAAACTGCCTTCCTTTTCTGGTAAAAAAAATAATAATAATCTTGTCTGTAACCTAAACTCAGAAGACGAATTTAGTGGCTGCTGCATTGTAGTACAGCACTTCAACATAGCTTAGTTTCCTTAATATCCGATGATATATTAATGTAATTTATGATTTAACTCTGTAGATATCTACATATTCCTCGTTTAAGTGAAATTAATCAACACATCTGTTTTTCTGCTTAAATTCACAAACTTTGTCTCCTCCCAAGAGGCATGTCAGCTTGATTGTGATTTCATTCTGAGGTATTAACTTTAGAGGACGTTCTGTGCTGGACTTAAATGAGAGCTATTGGTTTCCGCTTCATCTAGTCTTGGGCATTTAAATAAGCAGGAGATCAAACAGGGATGTAATACTTAAAAGCCCAACAAAAACAGATCAGGTTCCCGAGCTCTTTGGAGGGGCTATTTAGATGGTACTCACAGCTCTCCAATCTTCTGGCCCACTGTAAGTATCTTAATCGTGGCTCTGTGATGTCAGTGCCATGTGTTTTGTTTTATTGTCCTCTTGAAAGAAGAGGTCTGCCCAACTCTGGAATGATCAGACTACACAAAAGAAACAGACAGAGAGCTGTTCACCAGAGCCTCTAATGTTACCTCTACAGTAATTAAGGCCATCCTCTCTACAAAAACATCTGTCATGGGTCAGAGCTATTTCACAGAACTGGTGCTTACTGTTTGTAATAAGTTTTCAAGTACTTAAAGAAGCTTCTCACAGCATAAGCTTGTTACTCTCAAACTCCCACAGACGTGTGTAGCAAGCTACACAGTCTTCAGCTGGTAAATAATTTTCAGACCAATCAGTGCCACCTATAGGAAAGTGAAGCAAAGGCACCAGAATACAAAAAAGTTGACACCTGTTACCGATTTATACAAGTCATGGAAAGTTGTGTCGAATGAAATTTCCAGGATAAACCCCCCCCCCAAAAAAAAGAGAATGAAGTCGGTGAATAAAAGTTTAGAAGTGCGCAAAGCAACTAGTGACCAAGAGCAACATACCAAAGCCTTGCTTCATCAGTAGTGAAGCAACAATATCTGGGATGTGCTACGGTTTTCTATTTACTGTATTCTCCTGGGGGTCTTTAGTTCTGGGACATGATGCTCAAGCTGGGGGGCTCAAATGCAGTGATAATGTCATATTGCTGTGTTCAAGGTCTGCAAAGTGAACCAATCACAGGAAATCTGACACCTCACTATCACTGCACTGCTTCGATCAACTACTGAAAGTACAACGGACCCTTCAAATCTATGGGGAAACCGGTCTATACAGTCAAGGTAAACAACCATTTTTAACTCATTAGCTAACACTAGACAGTGTAAATGTTAGCATTTAACGACTTCCCAGCTAACATTACCATGTGGTAGTCTTGTATGATATGATAAGTTGTCAGTATTCCTCTGACCCTCTCAAAGTGGGAAGCTCAAAAATGTTTATGTCTTACCTCAGTGTTTACAAATCACACGCACAACATATGCTGGAATACCTGAGGGACATTAGTCCACATTTCAAGGTAAAACAACCAATCACATAGCTCTAGACTTACAGTAGTCAACTACCAATGTAAGCAGTCAACCATTTACTTGGTAGCTTGTCAGATTTCTACATTTTAGAGCCTAAAATATGTGAATATGTAGCGTTAAAGCTACCTTCCTTCAGTGTTATATTAGAGAGAAAAAAAGCTGCCATGTGAATGAATGTGGTTAAATTCTTTGTCTAAATCTTCCCTTGATAGGACCCCTGTACAGCTAACATGAAAATAACTGTTTGTGGATCTGAAAGAGGGAAAGCTCTCATTTTGGTTTGGATGACATAGACGGCTCTAGAAAGTGACCACGTTGTTCTCTCTGGGTTTCAGGGGACAACAGAGAGTGTTGCAACCTGAGCGAAAGCTCCAAAATATTTTGAGTCAGACCTTTGCGGACAGCTGGTTTCCTAATTGAATTTTCAGCTGCAGATTTGGTACATTCCTTAAAGCAGTCACCTATTTGAACCAAACGGAATATTTGCATACTGTTGCTCATCCATTTTAACAGTCCTGATCACATCTTTTTTTCCATATTCACACCACGATTTAGCATTTTTTGTTTGGTCTACAGTGGGCACTGAAGTAGTGTGTGGCCCTATTACATATTTCATTTGGTTCAAAATGATATGCTAAGTGCCAAAAACTAAAGTAAGAAAGACCTGTATGCTGCTGCTACTATTGTTCCCCACAATAGCAGCAGCATACAGATTCATCCTTCGGGTTATTATGTCTTGAACACTACCTCAGGAAAGAAGAATAATCGTTCTCTGAAGCCTTTATTGAGGTGGGCAACACTTCTAGACATGGCTGAGTGGCTGAACATGTGGTAAAAGGAAAAAAGAAATCCTGGAAATACCCAAACAAATCGTTTGAAGTGATGGAGCCAATCTGAAACAGGATTTGTTGTATCAGTATGACTAACAGGAACATTTGATTGTATTTTTCTCTAAACGTTTGCTTTCACAGTGTGACCCAATAGCCAGAACATCTTGAAACGGGAGGGGCAGTGAGAAATGTATTTCTCATTTCTGGTGCCAAGTAGTCAGTTTGTAGCAAGCATTAAAGTCAAAGTATGACAGGTCTTTATGAAGGAATGTAAACCTCTGGCACAAAAAGTCATGCTTTATATTGGATTACAGGATCATTGGCGTTTCATTATCGCAAGATCATGTTGGTGTGAATTGAGGCATAGTGTGTTTCCTGATGACTTCAGGACCCTTTGGATGTGTGTATGGCTCTGTCAAATTGATAAATGTGTTATTGTTCTTTACAACATATTCCCCCACTTATTTTTAAAGATGATGTATTAGCTGCCGATCCATTTCCTCATGTTTGTTGTGTAGCAATACAATCCCCCCTTGCAACACGAGTTGTACTTCTGGATCAACAGTGTCTTCAAGCCTTTAGTATTTGAAAGAATACAACACAAACAGAGTTCAGGTTAAATATATTGTATTGTTGTACAGAAGCTGTTTACATTTATCCTTTCCGATCTCAGATTTCAGCAGTGCTTGAGTTCTTTGAATGTACTGTCTTGAATTCAGAAACATGTACTGGATGTGTTTCAATTCTAAAATAAGGCTTTTAAAGCAATCAATCTTGAAATGACATTTTACAATTTATCACAATAGTTTCTGCTATGTAGAATTTCCCCTCAGTGTCCACCCTAATCATTTATGATCACATACATCGCTGTTAAGTTTCAGTGGCTTTGACAGAGAAAGAAACCAAGATTTTATTTTTAACCTGGTGCAGATGATCCCCAATTATGCACAAATATAGTGTGATTTATTTATGAATTGTTATTCATTTAACAAGCTGTTCAGAATAAGAAATATTTTATTAATCTCCAGAGGGAAATTAGGTTATACCTTTTATTTGAGAGGACAGAAGATAGAGTAGGTTATTGGGTAGAGAGATCGGGCAATGCGGGAAAGTGAGGGAGCCGCCTGTTTAGAGGACTCTGTACATGGAGCATGTGACATAACCTCTATCCAAACTGCCACCCCACAGTGTTTTGTCCAAACCGTCATGAATCTTCTTAAAGCCAAGATAAAGGCTGTAATCGTTGTTGCATATCAGAAGACAATTCCCTCACCCTGGTGCAAATTACATTTTAGTGATTAAAGCTGGATTATCCGGATGTTTATTTTTGGGCCACTAGGAAATACTGATAGCCACAACTAGTTATGAACTTACCAACAATGTGGTCTTGTGTGGAGACCAGGAGAGGTCTGGATCTCCATCTGTCCAGTTATCTCCACACCAGCTGCAGATGCAGGGAGGGCACATGCCGCTGGCCTGTAGAAAAGAGAGAGTGCTCTGTGTGACACTCAACATCTTCTTCTTCTTTCTCCTAATGGACGTCTTGTGGAACGTGAGGCATGACAGCTGATGCTGTGTCAAACAATAACCATTCAACATGTCTAGATGAAATGTAGCAACATTTCTGGTCCTGTGTCTGGCAACATGATTAATGTAAGACAAAATGATCTCTCCATTTCAGTCTAGTTTGAACTCAGTTAGAATCACTATCTAAGCATCGAGCTACCTAGATGTAAGACGTTTTCAACCAACCTGTGTGTGTGTGTGTGTGTGTGTGTGTGTGTGTGTGTGTGTGTGTGTGTGTGTGTGTGTGTGTGTGTGTGTGTGTGTGTGTGTGTGTGTGTGTGTGTGTGTGTGTGTGTGTGTGTGTGTGTGTGTGTGTGTGTGTGTGTGTGTGTGTGTGTGTGTGTTTGTCAGCTGTTTTGATGCTGTG